AAATTCACCCTTGAATTATCAGACTCACTTGTTGAAGTTGAATTCGTAGTTACAGGGAATTCTTATCACAGTATTATGCTGAATGAGGAGGAAGCTGCATTTGTCTTTTAAATTTGATTACAAAATAATTAATCAAGACCAGAATCATAAACAGCAATAAACAAAATTGAACAACATAAATGATAAAATATAGTAATTTAGACAATAACTAGTTTGGATAGAATAGTAACGTAATTGCAAAAACAATAATGAACAATCTAAATAATAATGAATCAGTCCATGATTAATTCTCTTATCGAATGCTAAATTAAAAATTTGAGGAGGAATTATTTTTGTTTTTACACACACATAAAACAGACAAAGTTGAGACTATTTGATAAATAGTTACTTTGGAAATTGTTTGAGAGATGTTTTGACATATGAATCCCATTCTGGCTCAAAAACGCTTACACACAGGTGTCTCTTAAAGATAGCTTCTTTTCTGAAAACACTGAACAGTGTCATAGTTAGGGCTAGTTGTTGAGACCTAAAGTGCTGATGGACCAGGCTGGACTGATTGTAAAAAATGAAACTGATTTTATTTACAAACTAAAACAAAATGCTGATGTGGCAGCAACAAACATAACTCATAGGATCAATATGAGCACAGAGCCAAGATATTAGGTGTGTACAATGCCAAAACCGAAGAACCAAACTCAACCCAGCAGGATATTATAGCCAGAAATAAAATTTCAGAACCACCAATGCCTGTGCAGAGAGACAAGGATCAGGTGTGAGTGGGCGGGGCCAGAGCAGAAACAAAGACATAACCAAACAGGAATGTGCATACGTATAAAATAAAACACAGTAATCAAAACCCCTTCCATCAAACCCCAAAATACCAAAAGCACACATCATGATAAACATAAATATGTTCAAACGCATTATACAATTTCACATAATTTCATTATAATGACTGACAACAATAATCAACTTTATTCATGTTCACACCTGTCATAATCAAATTAAACAAACTTCATTATTGTTTTTCCTTTTTCCTAAAAGCATAACATAAAAAAGTAAAGATTAGTTAGACTGTAGCTGATTCGGAGTCCAAGAGAACACAAACATATTAGACATTATTCAAGACAAAAGTAACTTTAAAGAAAACAGTCCAGGGTAGACAACCCAAGGGTCAGAGGTCATGGTTAGGGGAGTGCATCTTCATGCTTCATGCTACATCTCTTTATAACAGAATTTTAGAATCTGGACATTTTCCTGAATCTTGGTGTTCAGCAACCATATGTCCAGTGTATAAAAGTATGGACAGGTGCAATGTCAATAATTATAGTGGTGCATGTATCTTTACACAGTGTAATGGGAAAGACTCTCAGCTCATGGAGAACATTAGAACCCAACCATTTGATCAAGGTAATTTTATATGCAAAATGAAACAGGCAACAGTCCTGCATCATGAATATACATCTGAGATATGGGGATCTACTCCGGCATTGCTCAGCTTGCCAGGAATAGGATCATAACAAATGTAAAATCTTTTTCCAACAAGATGGATGAATTGGCAGCGTTCCCTTGGCATGATGCTGTTTACAAAAACCTGACTAATCGAGCTAATTTGGACACAAACACAATGATGGACGGCCTTCATTTACCCTTTTTCATTTTAACATAGCAGAGTGGTAAGAAAAGTGGATGGAGCCTGATTATGTTTGTGAATGACAGATAGTATAACTCTGGGCACGCAGCTACTGAAAAAAACATCTACAGTAAGGATGATGAGCAGCTAGCTTTTAGCGTGATGCCATGTTTTTTATGTGGAAATGTTTACATGTTAATGTGATAACAGTATACAGTACTTTCCCTAATGCAGTATGCTAATGATGAAATGGCCTGCAATGTCCTCACTGCTGTTACCAGCAGACTCCAAACACAGCAATCCCAGGCCCTCCTCTGATCTCTGGGGATTTTAATCATGTCTTTCTGTCCTCCACTCAATCCATATTCACCTAGTATGTCACCTGCCACACTAGAGACAACAACACAGGAAAGTTATATTATGCTCACACCAATGAGGGATGCATCACCTCTCCCCTTATCTCCAGCCTATGTACACAGACCAGCTGTGACACGCACAGTGAAGAGATGGTATGAGAAGACTGACGAAGCTCAGAGGAATTGCTTCAACTCCAGCGTGTGGGAAAAGCTCTGTGCTCCTCATGTTGAGGACATTGACAGTGTAACATACTGTATCATGAATGATTGCATCAGCTTCAAACTCTACAAATTCTGTAAAGATTAGCGGTGTAGCATTCTGGGACATAAGCAATCTGAGCCTAAATTTAGGGAGGGTATCACAGTTGTGGAAGATCAGTGTCAGAGATCACACAGCTGAAAGACCTCAAGAGTTAAAGGTTGTTGGCTTTGACTTTGAATCTGATAAAGACCATGGAAAGGGTAGTCCTCAATTATATTTGCCTACTGGTGAGATCTTGTTTGGATTGGTTGTAGTTCACCTACCTGTAATGAGCATGGATAATGCCATCGTCTACCTTACGTGCCAAGCTCTGACTCAGAAGCCTGGGAAGCACTTGTGGATGATGTTTTGTATACTACTTCTTTCAATACTTTCCAGCTGTGGCTCCTGACGAGAAAGCTGGAGCAGTTGGGAGTGAACCACCACTTTTTGCAGTGGATATTGGACTACCTCATTGGCTGTCCACAAAGCACGAGGACACAGGGCCATGCAGGGAACTATGGTGGCATCAATCCAGTTTACAGTAACACCACAGACAACATCAACTACCCACAGTCTCCAAAAAATATTTGATGAATCTGCCTTAGTCATATTCATCACATATGAGGAAAGCACAGAGTACAGACTGTGGACACAGGCTTTTGCATTCTGATTCCACTGGAACCATCTCCAAATCAATGCAAGAAAAGAAACAATGGAACTTGTTGTAGATCCTTTGCATATGGTGACAGACTTTGGGATAATTGGACTCCTTTAAGTACACAGGTGTTCACGTGAACAATAAACTGGGTTGGACACTCAACACAGTTACACTCTACAGGATAGGTCAGAACAGACTCCTTGCTGAGGAGATGCAAGTATTTTGGAGTTCTTCATTCCAGCTTGTTGTCGCCAACAATTGGAATTGGTTGGAAAAAAAAAGTAAAGCCCTAAACCATTTATTTACTTTCAACAATACTTTACAAATATTCCATTCCATTCAATTCAATTCAATTCAATTCAATTCAATAATACTTTATTAATCCCAAAGGGAAATTAACTGTTGTTGTAGCTCATCATCCTGGTTTCATTAGAGTTATTCCAGATGCTGATGGCTTTGGGCAGGAAGGATTTCTTGTAGCAGTCCCTCCCACAGCAGATCTGAAGAAAATGGCTGCAGATGCTGATCCATTCACCTAGACCCAGCAGACTTCTCAGTCCTCTTGAGCAGCAGGACTGACTGAATGCCAGGCAAAACTCCTCTCTGAGAGATGGCCATTTCTCTCAGCAACCTGCTGAGCCCCTCATCGCCGCAGACTGAACTGCAGGTGCTGGGAAACGATTTTGGTCGATACGCTGTCACGAGCTGTGTTTCCCGCTACCTCCAAGACCTAGGTAGTCAGGCACCCGAGCACCGCCTCCAGGTAGATGGGAATGCATCCATGGCACCTCCTTTGGAACTCATTTGGAATTTGGGGCTGTAGCTTTGAGCTTTTGAGATGTTAATCGGCAGCTCCCAATAGTAGGAAACCACTTTGTTGTTATGGTTACGCAACATAATGAATGTCCAAAAATAAAAAGGTTTCAGTAAAAATCTTTCCAGCGACACAGCGTCTGATACCAAAGGAAGTACTCATCCGAAAAAAGTGATTTACATTCAGAAAAGAGAGTAACTAAAGTTTTCAAAAGCAAAATTTCAGAATGAATGTGAGAGCTACTCCAACATGCAGCCACCTTGAGCAGCACAATTCTAGAATTCTAGAATATTACTTTAACATTTGCATCTGCTTCTGGAGATAGGCATGAGTTCCCTGCAACTCAGAAAGGAAGAAGTGTGTAAAGAAAATGGATTGATGGATATATATGAACCACCTCTTCAGGGGAAAAAAAATCAGCACAAATAAAATCAAATTTGGCTAAATTTGGGGACCCAAACCCCATAAATCACTTCTGTGCTATTGCCCTACCTTGCACAAATCAATACAATCTTTCATCTGAGAGCTACATAAATCAATTTACATTTGAGTACCAATATGTTCATCAGCTGTTATAAGTGATATACTATGATGCTCTAGAGGAAAATATCACCCAAGTCATTAGGGTTTATCCATTCAGGACTACAAATGTCAGCAGAAAATACCAAAACAATTCATTGAACTGCCTGGAACAGCCTGGGGAACAGTCTTGCACTTAAACTGCAAGCATAGCAGAAAATATGCTCTTGCCGTTGGGTGAAACATTCAAATCAGGAAAAAAAAAATGACGGATGTTCAGATCAACCAACAGTGTGTGCATAAAATCTATGAAACAAATCATGACAGTTGAGAAAAGCAATTTATTACTAAAAATTAAAAAAAAGGATCTAAAAGCAACTATTCTATAGAAAAAACTTTAAGAATTACTTATTTTTCTTTTCGTGATTAAAAAAATGCTAAAAATATGTTTTTCTGAGCTATTAAGTTAAAGGACTGTCACAACTGAAATGTGCCATACACACTTAGACTGAAAACGGTCCAGTTTTTCACACATCTGGAACAAAACCAGAACACTTAAGTCCCACTTTTGCTCTCAACAACCTGCTGTGCTATGAATCACCTTTGTGCCAGGAAGCAATCCGGTACACTTGATTCAATGTATAAAGCAACACTGTGGTCAGAAAGCATTTATGTTTCTGGCTTTTTCTCAGCTGTTCTGAAACATAAACAGTGACATAAACTGATGCTACAATGATCACTTGCAGCAGTTTTTAAAACTCAAATGTAATTCTTACCTTTGCGAGCAATCCTGATGCAGTTTATTCTGGTCTCCTGTGGGGAAAGAAAATGCTAATTTTATAAATTTAACTGGATCCCATAAAAGCATCTATAAAGCAACATTATTTAAAATTAATTGTGTCTCAATCTGAGGGGAATTAATAAACTTTCAACAACTTGCAGCATGTGGTCAGACGTGGGCTTGTTTATTGTTAGGTGTAGAGAATAATAATGTCATTTTTCCAAATTACATTTTTAAAACTAATTTCCTCTCTGCTCTCCTCTGAATCCCCGAGTCTTAAAACTTTTCAGCAGGTTCTTCTTTTTATATAATTTCATAATCGCTGTCCCCAGAAATTCTTAATAATTGAACATATTTAGCATGATACTTTTGACTGTTAGTCTAAAACAGGTCTCACTTGTAAATGAGTCTCTGAGGTTAAATGTGATTAATCTGTATAAATAAAGGTTGAATGAATGATTAGAGGAAGTTACAAAGATGTTTTTGAAAATCACCATTTAAAAAATTACCATAATTTGCTTAGTATTTACAGTAAAATAAAAAATATATGATCATATTTCGAATATTTTTCTAATATAATTGGTAATATTAATAATAAACTGCCATATATAACCTATAGGGCAGGGGTCACCTCAGGTCCAAAAATGGGGATTTGACCTTTGATGTCAGAGAAACAAGCAAACACACAATAACAATAAATAGTAATATTAAAAGTTGTGAAACCTCACAACTGTCAAGCCTGATTTCAGAGATCTGAGCAAAAGTGTAATTTATCTCATTCATTAAACATAAATGTTGGATGACATGTTTCAATGAAACCGTCAGGAAATATCCCTTTGGATGTCCATCTACAGCTGATTCAATTTTGTAGCCAGCCTAACACAAGATGGCTACTATACCCAATGGGTATAGTATAGCTGGGACATATGGCTGCAGCAGATCAGTGAGATAGGAGGGGGCAGAACTGTTCAGTGATTTATAGACATACAAGAATGTTTTGAACTGGATTCGAAGGTGAACCGGTAGCCAGTGCAGTGAGGCCAGAACTGGTGTAATGTGCTCTCTTTTGCCTGTACTGGTTAAAAATCGGGCTGCAGCATTCTGGACCAGTTGTAGTCTAGCAATGAAGGTCCGACCAATACCAAACAGGAGCGAGTTGCAGTAATCAAGCCTGGATATTATGAATGCATGTATTACTGTCTCCAAGTTATTTTTGGACAACTTGGGATTCAGCTTAGACAGCCACCTCAGCTGGAAAAAAACTGGATTTAAAAATCATGTTTACATGACTGTTAAGTTTCATGGAAAGATCCATTATCACTCCCAGATTTGTGACTCTTTGTTTCTCTAACGGGGCTAGAGTGGAAAGGTCGATACAGTGGTTGATGATTGTGTCGTTGGGAGGAAACAAAATGACTTTAGACTTCTTCTCATTGAAACTTAAGAAATTTAAAGCCATCCAGTATCTGATGTCAGCCAGGCAGTCAGCGTAGAAGTGAAAGGATATGTTGAAAAGTGAAAGGGTATGTTGTGTTTCCAGAAAATAGCACCTAGTGGCAGCAGGTATAAAGAAAATAGAAGGGGACCGAGGATGGACCCCTGCGGTGGGCTGACCCTGTGATGCCCACCCACTGCTCTAACCTTGCAATGAGGATCTCATAGTCGATGGTGTCAAAAGCAGATGTGAGGTCCAGTAAGACAAGGAGCACAGAATCACCAGCGTCTGTGACTAGGAAGATGTTCGTAAAAACCTTCAGTAGAGCAGTTTCAGTGCTGTCGAGAGGTTTAACGCCATATTGAAATAGCTCCAAGATGGCGTGATCTTCTAGGAAACATTTTAACTGGGACTCAACTATTTTTTCCAGTAGTTTAGTGACAAATTGGAGTCTGGAGACAGGCCGGAAGTTGGACACGATTGAGGGGTCAAGGTTAGTTTTTTTCAGCAGAGGTTGAACAGCAGCATGCTTAAAGGTTTTAGGCACCACCCCTGAGGATGTTGCTATTCACAATAGTGAGAATAGAAGGACCCAGAGTAGGAAAAGCCTCCTTTACTAGTCGAGGAGGGACCACATCAAAGAGGGAACCAGATGGTTTCATGCTGCATGTGACCTGCTCTAGAGAAAACAGAGAGAAAGACTCGGAAAGTCGACAACTCCTGATCAGTCCCTACCTAGAAATCCAATATGGCTGCCTCACACATGAAAAGTTGTGACAACTGCAGTATCCATCCATCCATCCATCCATCCATCCATCCATCCATCCATCCATCCATCCATCCATCCATCCATCCATCATCTTTACGCCTTCTTCCTTTTCCCCACAACTTTTTCAGGTTGTGGGGATCACTGCTGGTGCTCAAGTCCAGCTATCACTGTGCGTGAGGTAAGGGGCACCCTGGACAGATCTCCAGTCCATCACAGGGACACATAGAGACAAACAAGGCAAACAACCATTCACTCTCTCACTCTCTCACTCTCACTAAGGGACAATTTAGTTACCAGTCAGTCTAACATGCATGTTTTTGGTCTGTGGGAGAAAACTGGAGTACCTGGAGAAAACCCAGGCAGCATGGAGAGAACATGCTAACGCCACCCAGAAAGGCCCCATGCCAGGATTTGAACCAGGCAACCTGATTATGGCGAGGCGGCAGCTTTACCAACTGCACCACTGTGCTGCCCACAAATGGATTTTGATGGAATTTTAAAAAATGTGTGTACATCTATGACTAGTTAACTTTTGTGTCAATCCAACTGAAGATGTGTGTCACAGCTAATCTACATTATACTGACCTAAATTTTGATGTGGTTCTAGAAGAGAGTTGTTTTTACAACACATTCTTTAACATCTTGTATTATTGCACGAGATCACACATAACGTTATTTTCATGGGTTGACCAAAGAAGTGACAATGTCCTCATTTTATATCAGACATTAGGCTAAAAACTGACATGAAGGGCTGTGTGGACGTGCATTTTTCAAAGAATGCTTAGTATTTAATGCAGAAAATTGAAATCAATGTCTAACTTGCAAAACTACTGTATGTTTCAGCAATCTAGAGTTCTGTCCATTTTCAGTTCAAATGCCACAAAGTAAAATGTTCAGTGAAAAAATATATGATGTCCTATTTTACATGCAGCAAAGTTCTGGCATGATTTTATTTTTTTGATGTTTAGCAAAGTGGATACTGTCAGTAATTTCAGCTTATCGATGGAGCTGGTAAGCTTTTTCAGACGGAGGAAAAATGGGTTTGTTTCCTGCTTGTGTAAGTGTGTGTAAGAAAAACTGGTTACACAAATCATGCATCTTTCAAGCCCAGCTGATAGAAAATGTGCCAAAGCAATTACTGTTTCAGCACAATGGCAGCCAGAGGTCCAGAGTAAGCCTGATACATTTCATTTATCCAGGATAATTGTCAAAATAATTAGTTTCCTCTCCTCACACTCCCCCTGTAAAAGCATATCTTCCGTGAAACACAAATATATTTCAAAAACAGATCACAGATGAAAATATTTGGAGTTAAAAACAAGAGAACTATAACTGACTCTGTTATGGAAAAAGCTCAAATATAAAATTTTTTTTAAAAATCACATGAATCAAATAAAAAAAAAACTGTTGTTTTTCTAGCTCTTGAAGCCCAGCCAAGCCCTCAGAGGACCCTGACCCCATCCCCTGAAGAATCACACATCTTAATACTGTTGATAACTGGATGAAAAACTGCTCTCAGCTTGATACAGATAAGCTTCTTACTCTGCTAATACTGTACATACTTTAAACGTATGTTTTGTGCTGATTTTGAAAGCAGCACAGATCGTGTGATGTTAGTTTTAATGCTTTCCTAAAATTTCTAAAAAGTATAAATAATATGTTCTTAATTCTACACCTAGCTGTCGTGCAATTAATTTCATTAGTAGCTTCAATTTCAACCTTTGCCCAAAGAGATCATTATATTGTAAAACTGACAAAAATCTAGGGTGGCACAGTGAATCGTTTGGTAGAGCTGTAGCCTCTCAGCGAGAAGGTCGCCGGTTCAAATCCTGGCCGGAGGCCTTTCTGGGTAGATTTTGCATGTTCTCTCTGTGCATGCATGGGTTTTCTCCGGGTACTCCAGTTTCCTCCCACGGACCAAAAACATGCATGTTAGGCTGATTGTTAACTCTAAATTGTCTCTAGGTGTGAGAGAGAGAGTGAATGGCTGTTTGTCTCCTTTGTCTCTTTGTGTCCCTGTGATGGACTGGAGACCTGTCCATGGTGCCCCCTGCCTCTCACATAGTGATAGCTGGACGTGGGCACCAGTGACCCCTGCAACTCAAAAATGAAGAAGCGGGTAAAGATGGATGGATGGATGAACAAAAAGCCATCATTAGCGCATATTAGGAACCCAGACCAGTGGTCATTCCATATGTTACACGAGTTTCAGAGAAACTGAGATATTTAGTGGTATGTGTTGTCATAATTGTATGTTCCCATACAAAGACAAAATTGGTTCACTGCCTTTAACCCATCACACCTGGGATACATGCAGGTGGAGCAGTGGACAAAAAGACTGGTCCATCCCAAAGATCCAGTCCCCCGGCACAAACAGAGTAACGTTGTGTATGCTGTTCAGTGTCAGGAGGGTGATCAGTCTTACATCGGGGAAACTAAACAGCCACTGGCCAAAAGGATGGACCAGCACAGAAGATCAACATCATCAGGCCAGGACTCTGCGGTCTACACTCATCTCCAGGCCAGAGGTCACTCTTTCAGGGATGAAGATGTTCACATCCTGGACAGAGAGGAACGATGGTTTGAGAGAGGAGTAAAGGAGGCCATCTTTGTGAAAAGAAAGTGTCCATCAATAAACAGGGGTGGAGGCCTCCATGTTCAACTGTCCCCCTCTTACAATGCTGTGATTGCTAGTATCACTCAGCCCTCTGTGATTAGCAAGCGGCCATCAGGGCACTTATGATTGATCGTTAGGCTGATGGTCCTCCTTGATCATGTGAACAGCTAGTTCTGGACGTCAACAGCAAACTGGTTGATCCACTACGAAA